CCCCCAGCTGTTTACCAATGTAACTGACTATTCCCCCAGCTGTTTACCAATGTAACTGACTATTAACTGACTAACTGTTTGCCAACTTCTGACTATTCCCCCAGCCCCTGACTATTCCCCCAGCTGTTTACCAATGTAACTGACTATTCCCCCAGCTGTTTACCAATGTAACTGACTATTCCCCCAGCTGTTTACCAATGTAACTGACTATTCCCCCAGCTGTTTGCCAATGTAACTGACTATTCCCCCAGCTGTTTACCAATGTAACTGACTATTCCCCCACCTGTTTGCCAATGTAACTGACTATTCCCCCAGCTGTTTACCAATGTAACTGACTATTCCCCCAGCTGTTTACCAATGTAACTGTTTACCAATGTAACTGACTATTCCCCCAGCTGTTTACCAATGTAACTGACTATTCCCCCAGCTGTGACTATTCCCCCAGCTGTTTACCAATGTAACTGACTATTCCCCCAGCTGTTTACCAATGTAACTGACTATTCCCCCAGCTATTTACCAATGTAACTGACTATTCCCCCAGCTGTTTACCAGTGTAACTGACTATCCCCAAGCTGTTTACCAATGTAACTGACTATTCCCCAAGCTGTTTACCAGTGTAACTGACTATTCCCCTGTCTGTTTACCAATGTAACTGACTATTCCCCAAGCTGTTTACCAATGTAACTGACTATTCCCCTGTCTGTTTACCAATGTAACTGACTATTCCCCCACCTGTTTACCAATGTAACTGACTATTCCCCCAGCTGTTTACCAATGTAACTGACTATTCCCCCAGCTGTTTGCCAATGTAACTGACTATTCCCCCAGCTGTTTACCAATGTAACTGACTATTCCCCAAGCTGTGTACCAGTGTAACTGACTATTCCCCCAGCTGTTTACCAATGTAACTGACTATTCCCCCAGCTATTTACCAATGTAACTGACTATTCCCCCAGCCCAATGCTGACTTTACCAATGTAACTGACTATTCCCCAGCTGTTTACCAATGTAACTGACTATTCCCCCAGCTGTTTTCCAATGTAACTGACTATTCCCCCAGCTGTTTACCAATGTAACTGACTATTCCCCCCTGTTTGCCAATGTACTATTCCCCCAGCTGTTTACCAATGTAACTGACTATTCCCCCAGCTGTTTGCCAATGTAACTGACTATTCCCCCAGCTGTTTGCCAATGTAACTGACTATTCTCCCAGCTGTTTACCAATGTAACTGACTATTCCCCCAGCTGTTTACCAATGTAACTGACTATTCCCCCAGCTGTTTACCAATGTAACTGACTATTCCCCCAGCTGTTTACCAATGTAACTGACTATTCCCCCAGCTGTTTGCCAATGTAACTGACTATTCCCCCAGCTGTTTACCATTGTAACTGACTATTCCCCCAGCTGTTTGCCAATGTAACTGACTATTCCCCCAGCTGTTTACCAATGTAACTGAGCTGTTTACCAATGTAACTGTAACTGACTATTCCCCCAGCTGTTTACCAATGTAACTGACTACTGTTTGCCAATGACTGACTATTCCCCCAGCTGTTTACCACTGTAACTGACTATTCCCCCAGCTGTTTACCAATGTAACTGACTATTAACTGTTTAACTGACTATTCCCCCAGCTGTTTACCAATGTAACTGACTATTCCCCCAGCTGTTTACCATTGTAACTGACTATTCCCCCAGCTGTTTACCAATGTAACTGACTATTCCCCCAGCTGTTTACCAATGTAACTGACTATTCCCCAAGCTGTGTACCAGTGTAACTGACTATTCCCCCAGCTGTTTAGTAACTGACTATTCCCCCAGCTGTTTGCCAATGTAACTGACTATTCCCCCAGCTGTTTACCAATGTTGACTATTCCCCCAGCTGTTTACCAATGTAACTGACTATTCCCCCACCTGTTTGCCAATGTAACTGACTATTCCCCCAGCTGTTTACCAATGTAACTGACTATTCCCCCAGCTGTTTACCAATGTAACTGACTATTCCCCCAGCTGTTTACCAATGTAACTGACTATTCCCCCAGCTGTTTAACAATGTAACTGACTATTCCCCCAGCTGTTTGCCAATGTAACTGACTATTCCCCCAGCTGTTTACCCAATGTAACTGACTATTCCCCCACCTGTTTACCAATGTAACTGACTATTCCCCCAGCTGTTTACCAATGTAACTGACTATTCCCCCAGCTGTTTACCAATGTAACTGACTATTCCCCCAGCTGTTTACCAGTGTAACTGACTATTCCCCAAGCTGTTTACCAGTGTAACTGACTATTCCCCCAGCTGTTTGCCAATGTAACTGACTATTCCCCCAGCTGTTTACCAATGTAACTGACTATTCCCCAAGCTGTTTACCAATGTAACTGACTATTCCCTGATCTGTTTACCAATGTAACTGACTATTTCCCTCAGCTGTTTACCAATGTAACTGACTATTCCCTGATCTGTTTACCAATGTAACTGACTATCCCCAAGCTGTTTACCAGTGTAACTGACTATTCCCCAAGCTGTGTACCAATGTAACTGACTATTCCCCCAGCTGTTTACCAATGTAACTGACTATTCCCCCAGCTGTTTACCAGTGTAACTGACTGTTCCCCTGTCTGTTTACCAGTGTAACTGACTGTTCCCCCAGGCTGTTTACTTATTTAACTAAGCTGTTGCTGTTTACTTTATGAATCAACTACTCCCCTAGGTATTTAAATGCATAAACACTATTTCCGAACTGTAATTGCACTATTTCCAAGGGTTCGCGTTGGCTCTGTTGGTAAAGTGTCTACCATGCTTTCTCTGAGATGCGTTGTTCAACCTTCTCTACATAAGATTGTTTGTGTTTTTCTGGAATCTTATAAATGGACTGATCTTTGCTGCCATGATTGTGTCCTTGGGTTAAACACCTTATCTAATAACTCTGGATCACAAACAACTGGCCTCATATGTTTTAAAAAAGGCCACCAGGTACTATAAGGAGACCTGTCTCAAAATGACCCAGGATGTTCATAGGTGATGAAGCCAGCAAACAAATATACAAACAGCACTAGTTTCCTGGCTTCTTGATATTATAAAGAACTCAGGCGGTTTACTAGCAAATGTTTTAGTTTCAAAGCTTACTATTTCTCTAACTTTTAATTTGAAATTTTTAATTTTGGTAATTTAAACATATTAAGAACTATTCTATTTTCTTAGCTTCTAACAAGAAACAATATACTTTATGTTATACAGTAAAATTATTAAAGAACTTGAAATTTTATTTGGTTTTGTGTTGACAATGCTGGCCTGTTAGCTGTGTGTTGGTTTGAAAGCCAAAGCATTCTGTGGACTATATTCCTTTCCCTAAATAATTGACATGCCAATCAAGCAGAAAAACAGGTGAAACCGATGATTTTCATGATTTTTTTATATAAATTTACTTTAAATATGAAATGTTGACGAAAGATTAAACATGCAATTCAACAATTAGATTTTCACATCAATTTAAAAATAGATTATGCTAAATACGGACTTCGTAAAATACATGCTAAAGAACATCAGTTTTGGAGAGCATATAGTTACCACATGGTCTATCCATCCTTTCATCCGTCTTTCCATCTACCCTTTTTTTGTCCAGAACATAACTTTGCCCACAGTTATGCAAGTATTATAAAACTTTATGTATACACTAGTCATGTTAAGATGATGAACAGTGTACCAAATCCATAGCCCTTAACCCCATAATTACAGAGTTATTGCCCTTTGTTAAAAATTCACATCTGAAGCATAACTTTACTTGCATTAAATATACTTAAGCTTGATATATTCATAATTACAGATTTATTGCCTTTTTTAAAAGTTTTGTTTTAATCCAAAAAAACTGTTTTAGGGGAGCAGTAATTAAATAAAAGTTCTTATAACACAACCAGTGAAGATTTGAGTGTGACGTTTCAATGACTACACTGTCACCTTCATCAGACAAATGACCAGTATTCACTTGCGTATATAGTGTATGAGGCGGTAAAGAAACAACCAATTCTTTTTGTATTATATTTCTTTGTACACTAAAGCCTAAAATAGTGTGACAATATGGTAAACAGATTATAGAACCAATTTACTTCGCTTGATTTGTCTACCTTTCTTTAAAATGCATTAATCAGTTTCATATGTGGTTGTAGCTACAGATATTAAAATTGATTCACTTCCTGAAATTCAAATTTTTCAGATTACTGATATTTTTCTTAAATTTTTTTGTACATGTACATCTGAAACAAAGAAAATACAACAAGGTATTAAAAAATAATTCATGCATTTAAAGAAATTGAGCCAATATTACCTAATGGATAGTAGAATTCTTTTGTGTGAAGACAGCAACGTTGGATTACATCTGTGTAAACTTGTGTTAGTCAGTAGGCTTATTGTTCCAGATAGTTCTGTGTAGTTGTTGTCAATGTCTTGACCGAGTATAGAAAACCATAACGGGAGATATACAGGAAAACATGTGATTAAGGTTTCCTTCTGTGATACTTCCTGACAGTACTGGTACAATGCCAAGTGATATGTAGGTGTTATACATATACTTTATACAGTACCGTATATATCTAGCAGTAAGTCAATGTCAGGTAATAAGCCCACCCAGATCTGTCACGATTCCAGAGAAAGTGCCAGCTGTTTGTGCTATCAGCACATCTCCCTACTTTGAGTAAGAAACTACCAAGTTGGCCCCATGGGCAAGATAAATAAAGTCTTTTGTTTTTTATGACAAATTGGTTTGGTGCCTATTATCTCTGTCATCTATCCTCAATATTCATTATATCAGGACATACCCTACTGAAATCTATATATAGAAATTCTCATATTAGCACAATGCCTTTAAATCCTTGGACCTTTTTCTCTATCAGTTTTCACTTTGTATCATTTTAATGTATGACTGAGTGGAAATGTCTATCTATAAATGCAATTTTTTATCTGTAAAGTACAAATTCTTTATGTTATTGACATCATTTGTCATTACAGGAAGTGTTTGTGCCCCAGAATGGCCGTCGAGTTCTGTGGTACAGCTGTGGACCGACAGTATATGATGCTTCACATATGGGTCATGCAAGGTATGGACCTACAAAACTACAACAAATGTTCTCATAATAAATCCTTTGTCGTTAATTCTTTCCAATTAGAGACTTTTTATTCTTTCCATTCTCATTCTGCAAGAAAAGCTTCTTGAACTTTTTCAGATTCAAGTTTCATTTGGTAATTCCAAAATTGTGTTCAAAGGACAATCATTATAATTATAATTATAAAACACTCTTACTACTGTAAATATGTTACAAGTTTGATACCTAAAACATTGATATAAAATGATACTGAGCAGTCATTATGGATGACTACATGCAGAAACTCTGTGCTAGAATCTGGAAGGTTAATTAAACAGGACTGTACCAGAAAGTTTCGAAGTTAGTATATTAGGATAAGAAATTGACATCAAAATTTAAATTCTTTCACATTACACAAATTTGAGCACTTGCCATTTTTATAATTTGTAAGTTTAGAGACCTTTTTTTTTAAGCCTTAAAACAACATATTTTTATTGTCTGTAGAATAAAAAAGAAATACTGTCAAGCTCAATTCACTTCATAACCTAAATTATGTTGTTGTATTGACTTTAGGTCCTACATGTCCTTCGACATCCTGCGACGAGTGATGCAGGATTACTTTAACTACGATGTGTTCTACTGTATGAACATCACTGATGTTGATGACAAGGTAATCAGATTTTCTGTTCACCTCCACAAAGTACGTCATTATGGATAAAATGAAACTTTCATATGTAAAGTATTGGCTGATGAATATGTTAAACTTTGTTACTTAAATATTTATACAAAGGGGAATAAATAATATCATTTGCATTCAATCACATTAATAATATCACCCTGTATTGCCATGGAATCTTTCAGAAAAAATGTGAATGGAGTTTAGATCAGCTGATTATGTTAAGGAAGTGTTTTATCCAATACTTATCATTAATGCATCTTGTGTGTGGATCTCAAAAACATAGATAATTATATAACTGGCAAAGTGGAAATCAAATCTGATGTATTTCTAAATATCCTTTCAGATTATCAGAAGAGCCAGACAGAACTTTTTATGGGAAAATTACATAAGCGAAGGTCACCCTTGGAAAAAGGTCATGGACGACACGTTGCTGGCCATGAAGGTATAAGGCTGTTTAAGTGCAGTTTTGAGAAACATATGAAGAATATGATAGATGTTTCATTGTAATCCTTATCCCTGAAGAGTAACCTGTTATTGATAGTGAGAGACTTCATATCTAGATATCCTGTATTAAAATGTAATGAGGAATTTCAAAATTATCAATATAGTTGTACCTTCTCTGCTGCAGCCTTTCTCTGTAAAGTTGTACAGTTGTATAATTTCTACTGCAGTCCAGCTTTTCTCTTTAAAGTTATATTATTTCTGCTGCAGCCATTTTCCATAAAACTGACCAAAGAAACAGATCCAGACAAGAAAGCAATGTACGAGCGACAAAAAGCAAAAGTTGATGCGGCAGTAAACAACTTGGAGACTGTGATGAATAACCAATCAAAAGATGAGGCGGCTATTCAGGCAGCAAGGGAGGTAAGTTTGTTAGTGGTATGAATAAGACTGCAATTATGGCAGCACAGGAGGTGAGTCATCCAATTAATGCTTAAAATGAGGTAACTAGTCATGTAGCGCAAGAAGCAAGTCTGTCAGTTAATGGTCGGAATGAGGCCACTTTTCGAGCATAATATGACAATCAGGAATAATATGGAGGAGTTGCCTCCCTTTTGTAACAATCGATGAATTATGTTTAAGTGAACTCTTCTCTTGAAATGTCAATTCTTGATTCCTAAACATGTACAAATGTCAGAAGTTATGTGTATATTTGTATTAGAGAAACTTCATGTTTAAACCTCTCTAAAGTACAACACTTATCACTAACTTGTATATTGAATAAGAATGAACATGTGGCACATTTAGTTGAAAAAGTCAATATTCTGATTAAAAAGGGAAACATCTTGTACTTCACCTCCAGGATCAAGGAAGATAAGTTGGGTAGATCTTTCATTTTGCTACAAAATATTTTTTCAAGTATGCATGTACCTATGTCAGCTACAGGCCACCCTGACCTTCACCCCAGGTCAGAACTCAAGAACAGCAATCAAATTTTTCTTTAGAAAATAGCCAAGATCTGAAAGTGGTTCAGACTCTGTACAAGAATTTTATTGCAAAAGGAAAAGAAGTTGACTTTTGAAATACAGAACTTGTCTGTAGTTCAAATATAAAACCAGATACCAAATGTTTACTTGGTAATCAAAATATTCTTTCACTATATATACAGAATCTGTTGGAGTCTTCGAAGGACATTATCTCAGATTGGTTGGATCAAAACCATGGGTCAGAGGTTACAGACAACTCCATCTTCTTAAGTCTGCCCAAGCGGTTTGAGGAGGACTATCACAAGGACATGGAATCTCTTAATGTAAGTACAGGGACACACTGGTCAATCTCTCATTGTAAGTACAGCACAGGGACGCAGTGGTCAGTCTCTCAATGTAAGCACAGGGACACACTGGTCAATCTCTCAATGTAAGTACAGCACAGGGACACCGTGGTCAATCTCTCATTGTAAGTACAGCACAGGGATGCAGTGGTCAGTCTCTCAATGTAAGCACAGGAACACACTGGTCAATCTCTCAATGTAAGTACAGCACAGGGACACCGTGGTTAATCTCTCATTGTAAGTACAGCACAGGGATGCAGTGGTCAATCTCTCAATGTAAGTACAGGGACACAGTGGTCAATCTCTCATTGTAAGTACAGCACAGGGACACAGTGGTCAATCTCTCATTGTAAGTACAGCACAGGGACACAGTGGTCAATCTCTCATTGTAAGTACAGCACAGGGATGCAGTGGTCAATCTCTCAATGTAAGTACAGGGACACATTGGTCAATCTCTCAATGTAAGTACAGCACAAGGACACAGTGGTCAATCTCTCATTGTAAGTACAACACAGGGATACAGTGGTCAATCTCTCAATGTAAGCACAGGGACACACTGGTCAATCTCTCATTGTAAGTACAGCACAGGGACACAGTGGTCAATCTCTCATTGTAAGTACAGGGACAGACTGGTCAATCTCTCGATGTAAGTACAGCACAGGGACACAGTGGTCAATCTCTCATTGTAAGTACAGCACAGGGACACAGTGGTCAATCTCTCATTGTAAGTACAGCACAGGGACACAGTGGTCAATCTCTCATTCTCATTGTAAGCACAGGGACACAGTGGTCAATCTCTCATTGTAAGTACAGCACAGGGACACAGTGGTCAATCTCTCATTGTAAGTACAGCACAGGGACACAGTGGTCAATCTCTCATTGTAAGTACAGCACAGGGACACAGTGGTCAATCTCTCATTGTAAGTACAGGGACACACTGGTCAATCTCTCAATGTAAGTACAGGGACACACTGGTCAATCTCTCAATGTAAGTACAGCACAGGGACACAGTGGTCAATCTCTCATTGTAAGTACAGCACAGGGACACAGTGGTCAATCTCTCAATGTAAGTACAGGGACACACTGGTCAATCTCTCAATGTAAGTACAGCACAGGGACACAGTGGTCAATCTCTCATTGTAAGTACAGCACAGGGACACAGTGGTCAATCTCTCATTGTAAGTACAGCACAGGGACACAGTGGTCAATCTCTCAATGTAAGTACAGCACAGGGACACAGTGGTCAATCTCTCAATGTAAGTACAGCACAGGGACACAGTGGTCAATCTCTCATTGTAAGTACAGCACAGGGACACAGTGGTCAATCTCTCATTGTAAGTACAGGGACACACTGGTCAATCTCTCAATGTAAGTACAGCACAGGGACACAGTGGTCAATCTCTCATTGTAAGTACAGCACAGGGACACAGTGGTCAATCTCTCATTGTAAGTACAGCACAGGGACACAGTGGTCAATCTCTCTAAGTACAGCACAGGGACACTCAATGTAAGCACAGGGACACAGTGGTCAATCTCTCGATGTAAGTACAGCACAGGGACACAGTGGTCAATCTCTCAATGTAAGTACAGCACAGGGACACAGTGGTCAATCTCTCAATGTAAGTACAGGGACACACTGGTCAATCTCTCGATGTAAGTACAGCACAGGGACACAGTGGTCAATCTCTCATTGTAAGTACAGCACAGGGACACAGTGGTCAATCTCTCTTTGTAAGTACAGGGACACACTGGTCAATCTCTCGATGTAAGTACAGCACAGGGACACAGTGGTCAATCTCTCGATGTAAGTACAGCACAGGGATACAGTACAGCACAGGGATACAGTGGTCAATCTCTCAATGTAAGCACAGGGACACAGTGGTCAATCTCTCATTGTAAGTACAGCACAGGGACACAGTGGTCAATCTCTCAATGTAAGTACAGCACAGGGACACAGTGGTCAATCTCTCATTGTAAGTACAGCACAGGGACACAGTGGTCAATCTCTCATTGTAAGTACAGCACAGGGACACAGTGGTCAATCTCTCATTGTAAGTACAGGGACACACTGGTCAATCTCTCGATGTAAGTACAGCACAGGGACACAGTGGTCAATCTCTCATTGTAAGTACAGGGACACAGTGGTCAATCTCTCATTGTAAGTACAGCACAGGGACACAGTGGTCAGTCTCTCATTGTAAGTACAGCACAGGGACACAGTGGTCAATCTCTCTTTGTAAGTACAGCACAGGGACACAGTGGTCAATCTCTCTTTGTAAGTACAGCACAGGGACACAGTGGTCAATCTCTCAATGTAAGCACAGGGACACACTGGTCAATCTCTCGATGTAAGTACAGCACAGGGACACAGTGGTCAATCTCTCATTGTAAGTACAGCACAGGGACACAGTGGTCAATCTCTCATTGTAAGTACAGCACAGGGACACAGTGGTCAATCTCTCAATGTAAGTACAGGGACACAGTGGTCAATCTCTCATTGTAAGTACAGCACAGGGATACAGTGGTCAATCTCTCAATGTAAGTACAGCACAGGGACACAGTGGTCAATCTCTCATTGTAAGTACAGCACAGGGACACAGTGGTCAATCTCTCATTGTAAGTACAGCACAGGGACACAGTGGTCAATCTCTCATTGTAAGTACAGCACAGGGACACAGTGGTCAATCTCTCAATGTAAGTACAGGGACACAGTGGTCAATCTCTCCATGTAAGTACAGGGACACAGTGGTCAATCTCTCATTGTAAGTACAGGGACACACTGGTCAATCTCTCATTGTAAGTACAGCACAGGGACACAGTGGTCAATCTCTCAATGTAAGTACAGCACAGGGACACAGTGGTCAATCTCTCAATGTAAGTACAGGGACACAGTGGTCAATCTCTCAATGTAAGTACAGGGACACAGTGGTCAATCTCTCAATGTAAGTACAGCACAGGGACACAGTGGTCAATCTCTCATTGTAAGTACAGGGACACAGTGGTCAATCTCTCAATGTAAGTACAGCACAGGGACACAGTGGTCAATCTCTCATTGTAAGTACAGCACAGGGACACAGTGGTCAATCTCTCAATGTAAGTACAGCACAGGGACACACTGGTCAATCTCTCATTGTAAGTACAGCACAGGGACACAGTGGTCAATCTCTCAATGTAAGTACAGCACAGGGACACAGTGGTCAATCTCTCAATGTAAGTACAGCACAGGGACACAGTGGTCAATCTCTCAATGTAAGTACAGTACAGGGACACACTGGTCAATCTCTCAATGTAAGTACAGCACAGGGACACAGTGGTCAATCTCTCAATGTAAGTACAGCACAGGGACACAGTGGTCAATCTCTCTTTGTAAGTACAGCACAGGGACACAGTGGTCAATCTCTCAATGTAAGTACAGCACAGGGACACAGTGGTCAATCTCTCAATGTAAGTACAGCACAGGGACGCACTGGTCAATCTCTCAATGTAAGTACAGCACAGGGACACAGTGGTCAATCTCTCATTGTAAGTACAGCACAGGGACACAGTGGTCAATCTCTCAATGTAAGTACAGCACAGGGACTCTTACTTATCTCTACGTACAAGCAAATATAACTATGTTTAGAATTAACTCAGTAAAGATGTGATATTATAGTTATTGTCCTTTAAGGATTTACTCCTACAGGTCTGTAAAGAGATGTGTGGACTCCTTGGATTCATGACTTTTAGCTTTGTTGAACACTATATATCTGACATGTGGTGCTACCATTAAGAATGATAACTGGATCATTGTTTAAACCTGCTGTATATTCAGGTACTACCAGCCGATGTCCTGACCAGGGTCACAGAATACATCCCTGAAGTCATTGACTACGTCCAGAAGATCATTGACAATAATTTTGCGTAAGTTTGTTTGTTATATTAGATAAATGTACCTTTTATTCTGTGATTTTAAGCCCACCATCATCAGATGATGGACTACTCAAATCATCCTACATCCATGATCTTTTATCCATCCGTCCGTCCATAAACACTTTTTGTTATCATTATTTCTTGAGAAGTACTGTATGGATCTTTCTCAAATTTTTAGGTTTTCCTTGGTCCATAATTGTGCCTGTTTGATCTTGTGTCTTATAACAAAACAAACCATGGGACCAGGAAGATAAATGTGATTAATATATAAATGTTGGTTTTGTCCCCCTTGAGTGCTGGAGCTAAAATGGCCATAAGAAGATGTATTGATGGATATAGTGATTGTATTACTGTAGTCTGATTGAAATCATAACATGATCTGGGCTCCTGTTCCAGTTCTAATTCTCTATCAAGATTTCTGAGTAGTCTTAAGCTTAATTAAATCATTCTTGGAATTTTATTTAATGACTGTTGAAAATATTTCAGATACGAGTCCAATGGATCTGTGTACTTTAAGACAAATGAATTCTCAGACACTGATGGTCATTTCTACGGCAAGCTGGTCCCTGAGGCGGTCGGTGATGCCAACGCCCTGAATGAAGGGGAAGGTAATTCTGTATTTTAGTTTATATATAGATATCAAGCATGGGCGTTGATGGATGTGATTCATTAGATAATTACTAAACAATAGATAACTGGTAAATATGATAAGTTGATATAAAGTGAATTTGAGGTAGAGGAAGTGCTTATTACAGGTATTTCTAATGTTACTGATAATTCATTGTTGTAATGATATCAGTTCAAAAAGTACTGTTATGTAGGTATACTGACTCTCACTGTATCCAAAAAGACTGAGAGGGGATAGTCAATAAGTGTCTAGTGATGATGCAGAAACTATTCAGTGTTTATGTGAAAGAGCAATAGAATCAATACTGATTCAATTCCTTCACATTTATACATTCTTTTTAACTTAGTATCAGTTTTATTGTCTTCTCCTTGACTGTCACCTATACCTAGAAAATCTACCCGGATATGTATTGATGACTTCAGGTATACAGTAAAATTGGTTTATAGCATTTTAATGGACTATTGTTAATGAGTGTTAAATTTGTAATTAATTGTGAACTTGAAGATCTTCTTTCAATGTAGAAATGTTAGCTGGGTGTTTGATTTTTGCACATCATTGACATTTGCACTATTTTCATTGACATTTGCAATTTTCATTGACAGTGAACACAGCTGAGTTAAATCCCTCATGAATGATATGAAGTATAGACTATGTGCTATTTTTAGACATTAAAAGTACACAATTTATCTGTAATTTAAGGTGAACTCAGTGTCTCTGAATCTCAGCTAGGACAGAAGAAAAGTCAAAATGACTTCGCTCTTTGGAAAGCTTCAAAACCAGGTGAACCATCGTGGGATTCTCCATGGGGCAAGGTAAGCAGTCGGAAGTGGAAATACTTCAAACATGGAGATTTTTGTTTTACAATTATAATAAGATTAACTTAAAGTTTTACAGCAACATACAAATGTCTCAAGGTTCTATCAGTAAAGAGAAAATCAACACCATGTTACGTTCCTTTATACTTTGAGATAGATAACTGGTTGTTGATCACAAAAATCTGGATTGCGTTGTCTGTAAAGAAGTACGTATTTTCTACATTTGAAAAAACAAATTAAGATATTTTTACCACATAGGGTCGCCCTGGCTGGCACATTGAATGTTCTGTGATGGCAAGCTGCATCCTAGGAGAATCTTTAGATATCCATACCGGAGGATTTGATCTCAAGTTTCCTCACCATGACAATGAGTTGGCTCAGTCAGAGGTTTGTAGTGGTGCCTTGTAATGTACTGTCTGGTCATTGTGTAGTATCAGTTTTATAAGGGAGGACAGTCCCTTTAAGATTTTAGGGAAACCTTTCCATACATCGACATCCACAGAAAATACAAAAACCCTATTTGGTATATAATTTTAGTTACTTTACAGCTCAGATCATGAAAAACATAAAGATACAGAGTACTTACATCCAACTCCTAGATGAAAAGCATCACTTTTTGATTGTTTTTCAAAATTTTTTTCCAGCCTCTTATACAGCTGTATATTCAGTGTAGTAGCCACCAGATACTACAAGGAGCCCCTACCTCAAAATGTCCCTGGTTGTTCATCGGGCGATAAAATCAACCAATCACACAACTATAATTGAATTTTTTAACATGTTTAAGGAATTTCTGTGTCTTAATTTTCACCGAAAATTTTTTTTATCTTTAATGGTGTTTCTAACAGTCTTATATGGAATAATTATATTAATACATGTTAATTATAATACTGATGTGGGAAGTTTCACTGGGAAATAATTCACAAGTTTGCACTTTTACTGCAAGAAATATTCTGATTATGACCTAGTGCACAAAATATAGGTTAATTCCACTAATTCAATTTTTATTCATTCATGCAGGCCTATTACCAAAATGACAACTGGGTCCGTTACTTCCTCCACTCTGGACATCTGACCATCGACGGATGTAAAATGTCCAAATCACTAAAGAACTTCATTTCCATCAAGGAAGCACTTACGAAACACACCTCTCAACAGCTGCGTTTACTCTTTCTTCTCCATGCCTGGAAAGACACGCTAGACTATGGGGAAAACAGCATGGAGGTGGCACTTAAGTATGAAAAGAATTTCAAGGTAAGTATTACAATGTATCTCATCATGGGAAATTGACTTCAAAATAAACCATGAATTATACCTCAGGTATGGGTAGAAAGATACAGCATGTTATAGAATCTAAAAAAAACCTGGGAAGAGAAGAACAATGAAAACCTCAACATGTATAATGTCTTGTGTATACTGTCAACTCATCGATAAATGGTAGATTATTCATTTTTATTCAATTTAAATGCATGTAATAATTTTGGAGTTATTGCCCTTTACTTGAAAGTATAAGGTCTACTCAGTCAGTAACACTTGGCAGACTTAACTTTTAACGAAAGAACAAAATTATTGTGCTATTATTAGCCCACTATCATCAGAAGGTTGGCTGTTCAAATCACCGTTTATGCATTGTCCAGTGTTATGGGTCCGTCAGTCTGTCTATTCTGAAACAATTTTTGTTCTCACTTTCATGAAAAGTTCGGGATGGATCATTTTCAAATTTCATATATAGGTTCCCTTGGTCATTAATTGTGCCTTTTAGATTCTGTTGTTAAATCAAAAACTGAAATGACTGCCAGGCAGTCATCTTGGAATTTGACTGTGAAAGATTGTTATTATCCCCAGCAAAACACAGTTGCAGGGGATATTAATTTGGGCTCTGTTCACGCAGTTCAACAGAACTTTCTGTAGATATTATGTAAGTGCTGTAGTTGTGCCTTTTGATATTGCCAGCTTTCATTTTTCATAATTTCTTATTTTGGGACTGATCCATAAAAAAATGGCTTACAGGTGGCCATCTTGGATTTTGACTAGGAAAGTTTGATGTGGTTATTTCTGTGGGAGTTTGAATGGATCTTCATACTATTTCATTAATTGGTTCCATTCAATTTCTAGTCATGCCCATTTGGTTTTGGAACTGATCAGAAAAACAAAATAGCTGACAGGCTGACCTCAGTTTAAGGTTATCATCATTATTTCTCAAGAGGAATTTATAAATTTCAAATAATACAGAGCAAAAGCGAAGAAAACAAAGAAAAGATTCAACTTTTAAAGATCAAACAATATGATTGGCACTGGTGGCAAGAATGCTCTGGGATCTCTTGTTGATTAAGTCGTGGCATTTTATAGATTCATTTGTACAGTGTCCACTTGATATCTGGAATGATTACATCAAAATCAAAGAGGAATTAAACTTACCCATTAATTTACATGTCGAATGGTCATCATAATTCAACCATTATTTATTTCATAACCTGTACCTGTATTTTAACTGTTGTTTTTATTTGAACATTAATCTTGTAATATCTTTATCATTCAGATACTTGTACAATTGATGACTGTGGTATGTGATGTTATGACCAACAATACTGTTATTATTTGTTATTTACAAATTGTTAGATGGAAGCAATACATTCATTCAGCAGATAACCACAAGAAATTTTCACTGTCTGTTTAGGAGTTTTTCTTGACGGTTAAAGATGTCCTTCGATTGACCCCTAGTACAGGAGTTGCAGCGTTTGAGAAGTGGACAGATGATGAAGTACAGATGAATGAAACGTAAGAGAAAGTGGCCATTGATTTATATCTCATAATGTATTCATACGGAGCTCTTCCACGGTAAATGTCAAGCAATTAATGAAACTGATCCGTTTTCTTAGAAATATATTTATCTGGAAGAAAATGACTGAATTTATACATGTTAGGTTTTATTGTCTGTGATTTGATTTTCTGTTTCATTTAAATACAGCTACCTTGCCATGAGACATGATGTACACTTAGCCTTGTGTGGTGAGTATGCGTCGCATGAATTAACGGTTTACTTAAATCTATTAATTGATTGGTCTTTGAAACAAAACAGTCTGCTTTCAGAATTCCATAATCCTGTAAATATGATTTTACCTCAGTGTGATACGGAATCTAAATGTAACAAATCTAGATACTGGTTGTCCTGTAAATAGTATATATTTTGTTTATTTTAGTAATATAGGGGGGTACCAGGAAATTTTTCTGTAAATGTTCTAGCAGACTTTTAGCAAAAATTGCTGGTGGAGTCTGTTGTCTGGTGTTTTACTTAGAATTAGAGGACCTTACATTAGTGTCCGTGTGATATAGAATTTATAAGACAAGTTCAGTCATTTGAAATATATTACAAGTTTAATCAATTCCATGCTGCATCTACTGCAATTTTGGAAAAATTAAGCAATAACTCTCAAATTAATTAAGACAGACTTATCTTGACTCTACTAAGACAATTATATGATGTCATCAAAAGTGACTTATTTATGACATCACAATATTGTTATGACACATTTTTTACAAAGTTTATGACATTGCTATATGACATGATACAACAGGCAAGTTTCATGATAAACCTCTATAGTATAAATGTTAGAAACTCATCAGGATTGTTGATTTTATGTTTGTACAGATTCTATCAACACTCGTCAGACAATGGAAGTGATGAGGGACGCAATATCTGCCTGTAACATCTACATCACCAAATGTAAGGTGGACAAACGCCTCCCCAATCGCATGCTGCTGAAAAACATGGCAAGCTACATCACAGACATGCTCAAGGTAAACTTTATATCTTTCATCATGTTTCTTTGGTTTTGTGTAATAGTTGGTTTCTTTTTATTTTTCTGTTTTTGTATTTTCCTTTCTTTTATGCCTATGAGCTAGTAAAGATAGTTACTTACCTTCTCCAGAATGTGAGGGAAACTTTAACTTAGAGTTTGAGTTACTTCTATCTAACCTTGATACAATTAATAACCAATTACAAAAAAGTCAAAAAAATAAAAACTGAAATTTTAGGTGCAAGAAGAAAAAGGATATTTTTAACAACAAGTACATTTGACATTTAAGTGAAGCTAAAGTACATTTCAATTGATAAACATTGTGCTGAACTTTTGTGGTGAACTTTCAGATTTTTGGTGCCATTGATACAGATACAACAATAGGATTTCCCCAGGGTGGAAAGGCTGGTACTGATGTAAGTTTGATAATAAAAATGTTAAATATCAAATATTAATAGATCTGTTTTATGTTTTATTGTCTGTTTAATCAACTGGCATTCAAATGGAGCTATGGTTGATTCAATAATGCCTTGTTTTGAATAAGCAATGATTAATAAATTGCATGCTGTTTTTATTCATGCAATAAGCAGATGTGTGATAATAGGTCCAACCAGTCTGTAGAAATATCAGTCATAAACCTCCTTCTTCCTCTTGCCTGGACATTGTAAATCTGAGTGAACTATCAGAATGGGAGTTATTACCAGGTCGGTACTCGGTTCACAGGAATTACTAATCTGAACTCAGGAAACTTCCGTCAAAAGTTTCCTCCATTACAAATGCAAAAATAAAATGAGAATTAATTCCTGCCATATTGTCTATTTCACATAAAGTCGGTTCCTTCATACATGTATTTTCCATTTTTTTGTTAACTATAGTTGGAAGAAACCGTAATGCCTTACCTTCAAACATTCGCTCAGTTCCGGGATGATGTGAGGAAAGTTTCTCGAGAACAGAAAGGTTGGTATAAAAGTACATGGTTACTATTTCACTATGTAGTTTGTGTAATTCATCAGATTTTTCTGTCAGAGATATACAGCTTATAGATTAGGGCCTTTTCAAATTGCTCATTGCTTGTGGTCTTACATATCAGTCCGTCCGCTGATTCATATATCCACGTACACAATTTTGAATTCTTTTTACCATGCTTTTCTGAATCTGAAGAAGAATATAAAGTTGTGTGTGCAGCATTTTGAGCTAAAATAGAATTTTGTCATTTAAAGCTTGGGGACTTCTGTAAACAACTGCCCAAGTTATCTCTGAATCATCATGAACCATTGGTTGTAAGTGACATATTAGATTACAACATTTAAAGTTTGTTATCACTTTCAGTAGAACTTCCGGGATCTCCTTGAAACTTTACAGATATGTTCAGTGGGTTTTTATATAGATTATATTAGAAAAACAATATTGTAGTAATGCTTAACTGATTGTGTTTTTAAAAGTGGTTGACATCCTGAAGATTTGTGACCAAGTCCGCGATGATACTTTGCCAAATCTGGGTGTGAGACTAGAGGACCATGAAGACAGACCTACAGCTATTAAACTGGTTGATCGGGAAACTCTCCTAAAAGAGAGGGAGGAAAAGCTCAGGCAACAGGAACAGAAGCAAAAGGAAAAAGAACGCAAGAAGAAGGAACAGGAAGCAGCAAAGGTATAAATTAATTATAGGTTTTTTATGATCGCGATTTTCAGTAAATATTCAATAATTTCTTCACATAGTGTATTGACAAGGATTGATCAAAAGTATTCCAACATAACACAATTAACGTATGGATCTTGATTGAGATTTTTGAAAATTACTTTTAATGTGTAACATATCAAGGGGAGGGGAAAACATTTACTTCTGTTGGTAGTATGATGGGAACCAAAACAAATAGACAGGTATTTGTTATAAATCTATGGTCTTATAAGAAAGGTATTTGTTATATACCTGTGGTCTTATTAGACAGGTATTTTTATAAACCTGTGGTCTTATAAGACAGGTATTTGTTATAGCTGTGGTCTTATAAGACAGGTGTTTGTTACAGCTGTGGTCTTATTAGATAGGTATTTGATATAAACATGTGATCTTTTAAGACAGGTATTTGTTATAAACATGTGGTCTCATTAGACAGGTATTTGTTATGACCATGTGGTCTTATTTGACAGGTATTTGTGATAAACATGTGGTCCTAATAGACAGGTATTTGTTATAAACCAATGGCTTTTATCAGGAATATGTTATGCACCAATGACCTTTATAGACAGGATTGTCTGTGTTTTAATACAACTAAGTCACTTGTAGCCGTAGTTTATTGTGTGTTACCTAATTCATTGAATGGTATATCTGTAGTTGTAGGATATAACCACACAAGAGATTGATGTTTTGTGTGCTTAGGAACAACATATGAATTCCTCCTTCTGTTTATCTCAGCATGTTTCTTAAAATATTTACAATGCCTGTATGTTTTGTGTGATTAGGCGGCTAAAGAGGCACAAGCGAGAATTCCTCCATCAGAACTCTTCAGGAAGGAGACCAGTAAATACTCTCAATTTGATGACAAGGTGAGTTTTTAAAGAAACATGTATAGGCGCTAAATAAAGAGTTCATAAAATGAAGGACATGGTAAACAAAATGATGGAATTTGGGTTTCTGTTTTGTTTAATGAGAGAATGAATCATAAAGGAAGAACTTATGGAGGGGTACCTGTTATAAACCTGAAGGGAATAATTATTTTTGTTGTTAGTAACGTAGAGTTCCAGTTTCTGTGAGTTATGCAGGTCTGAGAACCCCAGCTATCTGACTGAATCATCCCTTTTTTCAGGGTATTCCTACTCACGATGCTGAGGGAAAGGAACTCGCAAAATCTGCAATTAAAAAACTTAATAAGATGTACGAAGCTCAGGAAAAGACCTATAACAAGTTTCTGAAGAGTCAGGAGGGCGGAGCCACAGGAAACTCTGACCAATGATAGTTCTTCATCAGATTTGATGGATTCTTAATTGTTGTGACTATATTGTGTAACATTTGACACTAAGCGTTTAAACAGCTTGAAATACAAGTCAGTCAATCTTAGGAAAGGACATTTTTGATTCATGGGCAGAATGATCCAACTTGAAATCTTACATTTTTGTTTGATCTGCCTATTAAAACCAGCAAGTGAGATTTACTGTAGTACGATAACTCAGTAAATTTTTAGGCAAGTAATATCACTCAAACTTTCCACATTTAATGTTGTAATGTAGAATGTAGTGTGTTATCAGTAGTTAAAGATTTATGTGTAGAATATGATCATACTTATACACTAATATACTTATAATGAGAATGAGACAAATGTGAATTTTGAATCTTGAATTTCTCACAGGCAGTCATATTTGAAGAACACTGTATACCTATAAGGTCAACATAGCTGACAGTACACAATTAGCTTATCATTAACAGAAGTTGCTGAGTTTTAAGCAGCATCGTAAGATTAACTATTTAATTTTCAATTTGAAATATTAACATTTTTAATTATATGGTACAGAAGAAGGAGGTTACCAAGTGCTCTCTGTATAAGTGTATGTTTTATACAGCTTTTTCTCATCAGTATATCATATGTAACAGTGTATACAAGTATGTATCCATAGTAACCTGTAGAGCTTTTTGCCGCTAGTAGATCACTGTAACAGTGTACAATTGTGTGTTGATATTAACTTGTTGTGGGCCATTCAATGTCATTATATTGTTGTGACCAAGCTGTAAGTGTACAAGTATATACTACCTAAATATCTCTCCTAAAATGAGAGGCTCACAAATAATTACTACTTTTCCTCTTGTGTAATCAGGCTTGTATTTAAAAAAAAACAACGCAATTATTAAGTGCTTAGAAAATACATGTGTAATATACTAAGGAAACCAATAGTTTATTTAGAGGATAAGGAGAATAATCTTCTCATCAACTTGGAATGTCCTCAATGATTTTGTCATATTTATTTATTTATGTGTTTTTATGTGAAAAATGTTGCAGATTTTCTTATGTAGATCCAGATTGCGAAGCATTTTCATCGCTATTTTACAGAAATCTACACAACAACACTTTTTTTGTTTTATGTTTCATTTTTTGTGTGTATGTGTAGTCTGAATCAAACTTATATGTGATACAGAGGTTCACCTTAAAGACCTGTCAAGATTATAACATGAGACGGTTATTTTGAGTGATAAAAGACTAGTCACAGTATGCTCCCGTATATTGTCCTGATCTTATTTTGAGATCGTATATTTAAAACTCACCTTTAATTTTTAATGGATAATTTGATTTGAATTTCTCCGAGAAAATTCCTAAAGACAGAAAGAAAAATGGATGATGTCCAGAAAATGCCTGGCAGTACCTAAACACTGGCCCTCTAATGTGATTACTAGTCATGTCAATGATTAAAGTGGACACTGCTTCTTATTCAGATAAAAATGCTGTCTCCGTTCTCAGTTTCACAACTTCGCAGTAATAACTATTTGAGACTGATCTTCCAGCATCGGTCTTGCACAGAACATCTATTGTTAAAACTATACAACAGTCAAACATTTATAAATCAATTCAAAAGTTTTGTGATCTAAATCTCTGTTCACTGTTAAATTAATGCTCTTATCATAAAACATCTTTAAAAGACTTTGAAATATTCACTGAAATTAGTGAACGATATGTGACTCTTTTGTATCATCCATTATTTTATCATTTTGATGAAGATTCAAGAAATATGACTTAAAATAGCATACATACTATCTATGGCAACATCATTACATCTAGTTTATTGTACCTGGCTAGAATATAATGGTCAAACTTGTATGGGTCCATCAGACCGTTAAAGTCACTAGTCCCAAATGGCTGTATTAAATTTTTTAGGTGTTTTGACATTTGTATTTCTGAATGAAACATAATGTAAAAATGTGTATTGTCTTGTTCATTTCGTTAATATATCCATCTTCACAAGTTTGAAGATTTTTTTCCCTAACACCACAGGGATTTGACACCTGTGCTTAACACTGTATATGTATACCTACATATGTAGGTAAGTACTATATATGGTCAGTAAGTCCCTCGGGATGTAGTCTCTAATCATTTTACCTCTCTTTATGCACATGTCATTTTCTTTAGCTAAAACACAAAAATAAAGCAATGGAATCCAGTGTATGTTCTTTTTTTTTTCAATTTCACATCAGTCTGTCTGTAGAGATACACAATTTACAAGTCAACAAAGTTATATGTTCATTGTTACCTGTCTGTAATACATGTGTACTTATTTTCTTGACAAAAATTCATCCCCTACATGACCTTCATTTCTTGTTAGAGGTTCATCCCTTAAACCTTTAAGTGATAACAGAAATTTATTGTCATAAAACGTTCAATCCTTCGACCTTCAGTTCTTGACCAATTCATTCCCATAAGGCCTTTGGTTCTTTACAGAAATCCTTGACAAACCTTTAACCCTTAGAAATTTGGTTCTTGACAGAAATTCATTCCCAATAAGGCCTTTGGTTCTTGAAAAAAAACAATCTTATATTGAATGTTTATTATGATACTAGACAGAATTTCACACCTTCACAAAAATGAAAAAGTACTTCGGGATTGTTTGTGTAATAATTTGATTTTTAAACGGAGATATATTCATTTAATTTTTGAAGATCATAAATTAGTAAAGTGTTATGATTTGTAATAAGAGAAATAATTTCAACATATTGCTCGTTAGTTAAAAAACCCACTCTCTTCAAATCGTCCTTTTTAAAACTTTGGAAAAATTGATAGCTCAGGTGTGAAAATTTTACTCGTTATATCATGTGAAAAAATACTGTGCAGACATCGGCATTTTACAAACACTCGACACACATGGATAAAAAACCCACTCTCTTCACTCTCGTTAGTTAAAAAACCCACTCTCTTCAAATCGTCCTTTTTAAAACTTTGGAAAAATTGATAGCTCATTGAAAGAAATACCACATACAATAACCACTTGCTGTGTAACCTGTTTTTAAAAGTCTTCAAAGATAACAAACATCATTTTCGTAAAGACATGCCACTGCCTCTGTTAACTACAGAAGTGATGTTGGTAACCGAGATGGAATAACCCATTGCACAAACATGGTTTAATGCAGAGCAACAGTCCATAATCTATAGAGACATAACCAATAAAATGACTGACACAAGAGATCCCCAGGAGGTACAAATATCACATGTACAGTGTAACCTAGCTGTATAAAACACACAATGCCAGATTGCTCACAGAAGCTACAATATATTTTGCATAATTACTTGTAACAGATTGAACAGGAGATATTAAAGAAATGACAAAGCTAAAGAAATGGCGTGACACGTCTTTGGTAGGATATGTTATACACAACAAACCAAGCTAAAGAAATGACGTGACACATCTTTGGTAGGATATGTTATACACAACAAACCAAGCTAAAGAAATGGCGTGACACATCTTTGGTAGGAGGATATGTTATACCAGAGACATATAACACATATATACGTTTCTGGTTATACACAAAACACCAAGCTAAAGAAATGGCGTGACACATCATTGGTAGGAGAATATGTTATACCAGAGACATATATAACACATATATACTTTTCTGGTTATACACAAAACGCCAAGCTAAAGAAATGGCGCAACATATTCACAGGAGGAGGCGTCTTTTAAAGAGGTCATCCGTCTAGAGGGATTCCATAATATATCTCAAAAGCTAACAAGGAATAAACCAACAAGTCTCCAGGAGGTTTCTTAACTAGTGTTCCTACCTCCACACCGTACCATGCATCAAAACAAGAAACGGTACTATGGCTGGTCACAATATCACATTTGAGAGTTGCTTATAAACACTTTAATGCAGGGAAATCGGCCGATTATCAACGGACGCTCGACCACTGGGGATTGGTACCACGAGTAATACATACCCATAATCTAGCTTTCTTTTACTTAGTTTATATTCATTATCTATCTTGGAGGAAATTTTCCTTGGGTTTGTAACTTTGCTGAAAAGAAGTTCTTATATCACAACCAGTTAAAACATTTATATGACGTTTTAATGACTACAATCCCACCTTCATGAGGTAAATGACCAGTGTGAAGCAATTTTGTTTTCAGGTACAACTATTCAAGTATAAGTGGTAAAAAGTTTGACCAGAAAAAAGGTGGCCTTCCATACGTATATTATATATATATATTATTAATGCATACTATCCCATAAAAGTCGATTCGTCTAAGTTTTGTTTAAAACCTGGTCATAGATGTTCAAGAGTTTATGGGCCCCCTCATCCCTGATAATTAAATTTAGATTGCAGTCATACATGTAGTAGGCATCAATCAAAGATAGGGACATAATTCCAGCGATATCATGACATATACTTTTGGACGAATGGTGTATTGATCAGGGAATGTACATCCTCCCTCAAAAGGGAAAACAATTAAAGATTACTGGAGAATCTGATATCCTTTTAAACTACCAGACTTTGGAATGTTATCGCAACATAGATATGTTGTTAATAACAAAAGGCATTCCATTTACAATTGTTTCATAAGCCGGATATTTCATTTACTGAATTTGTTTTCATATTAAACTACACATATTGTGCAGTCTTAGTCAGATGTAAGATTAAGATGATAAAAACGACAACTGCATCATTGAATTATCCGCCACGTCCAAAATTGACTCAAAAATGCGAATTTCAAATTTATTTTGCATCTATTTTTGTCTACATTGCAATGATTTATAATGCAAATACTTATAAACAAATTGATTGCAGACAAAAAGGGGAGAGGACAATAAGCAATGAGAAATCTCGTCCAAAACAAATCGAGAATGAATACAACAAAGTTAATTTTCACGTACATTGTAAGGGTTATTTTGCCACGAATGTACTGGTAAGTTATGTCCCAGGATGTCTTAGCAATAGACTGGTGTATCTTGTAAAATTTCTTATCGATAAACATATACCGGAATACAGTGACTCTGTGATTCATGAACCGGTTCCTTTTGATAACGGAAATACTTAGTCGATATTGTAGTACATTTATTTGTATCAGCTGTATTTTACATATCACCAAGGTAAGGTGTGTTTCTGACGTCTGTATTGTTTAAAAATATATATGATGGCTACCTGTATAAATGTATCCGTATTACATATATTTTATCATATATATAATTTGGATTATCATTTATTTATTAAGATTTCATTAGTTATGAATGAAAGACAATCAAGATAGAGATTATGTCGTCTTACAGATGGCAATTGAATGTACGATAATCCTATTCCTATTTATGTCGACACGGTTCAGAGTATCGACATGAATTTGACATTCCAAAATTATATCAATATCGAAATTGAAGGAAATGATCGAGTCATCAGGACATCTTAATTCCTCTTCTGTTTTCTTCTTGGCGGATTTTCCGCTCTTAAAACTCCTGGCACTGACGGATCCTTGAAGGACGCGATAGCCGTATGGTTGGTCAGCGTATATATTGTATCGAATATTGGATTTGAGAGTCTTGTATAAGTTTGTACTGATTGAAGACATGGGCGTGAGTAACAGCACTGAGACAAGAGGGGACACTGGGCTCAACTTTGATTCAATTCTAACGGAAGAAGAGGAAAAAGATATAGAGAAGCAAATTGGTAAGTACTCAAATAAACATCACTCTTTACATACACATCCTGAAGGATAACACAGTAAACCTCAAAATACACAAAGTGAATTGGTTTAGGATTGGAGTTTGTATTTTGTGTCGTGCTTGTTGATTTGACTGTTGTCATCGTTCACTCAACAAGTTTATTAATAATTTCGTTTACAAATCATTGAAACTATGATATGTTTTGCTTCAAACCTAAGTCACAGTTCCTCTTTGCTTTTCAGAGCAGCGGACATTGAAGTCAAAGGCATGTGCACAGGAGGCGCGTTTTGGCTTCCTCAAGGAGCATGATTTCCCATTTGAGAATTTGGTGTTCGAGGGCGGAGGGAGTAAAGGTTCTGCTCATCTCGGTGGTGTGAAGGTAACGTAGAAAATAACATGATAACGTGATATTGATTTCCATAAGGTAATACCTTCATCATCCCAAGCATTTCCTTTTCTTTTGATAACTGATTGCAGTCAGAATACTCAGTATATGTCGAGTTTGTTAAAGGTAGGAAAGCGAAAATTTCGATGTACAATGAAAACACGAATGTCGTATACCTTGCTATCAGACACGATCGGCGAAAATAGGGTCAGTTTAAATATACGATGTCTCGATTACAGGCACGGTTGAGTCGAACCATCGGATAAGTCGAATATTTTACTTGGTCCCATCGACTTCGACTTATCCGAGGTTTACTGTATATCTATAGCATTCACGTCTGGCGGACAAGTTCCAGACTGTCTTCTAGATTGTACGTAACAACTGCTCGCTGTTCACATTGTGATTTTTCCTAAGCAACCTGCTTCTTTGAGACTGCCTTCTTTTTGGCCTTCAAGTTGAGTTTTCATCCATTTACGAAAAACTTTTAATCTGTCTCCAAACTACGACCGAAGTCGTGACATGGTGTGCCTAGCTTGACTGTCAGCAGTGAATAGAATTTTTAAAGAAGTAAACCAGGAATGCTCTGATGCTATCATAATGACATGGACTTGCTATGTCACACTGTTAACTCTACCAGATTGAAGTATTTATCATCTTAAACTGACCTGTATGTGATAGTAGGACATAAAACTTTAACCACTGGAGGATTGGTTGTCGTATTATATTTAACAGGTTTTAGACAAACTGGGAATTCTTCCGAATATAAAACGGTTTGCTGGCACCAGCTTCGGAGCAATAGTTGCCACATGTTTGGCTGTTGGCCTTACTGTGGAGGAAATGGAACGCATGGTGAGAGAGGATATAAGTAGCAGTCTCCTGTTTGGTAAGTATCACTAAGGTATATTGGATATTGTGAATGGAAACTAACATGTGTGACAACTGTTCCTTTTACAAAGAAAAAAAAACTTATCAAACGAAACAGCTGTATGATGCAGTTTAATTCATCATTTGGCTTTACTTTGTCAAACTCTAACTTTGTGTCTTTTGTGCCAGCTTTGAGATAACAGGGGCAAGACAATACTCGTGGTCCCCCGCGAGGTTTGCAGTAACCTGCATGCCACGTTTTAATTCA